TGTCCTTTGCAGGGACATGGATGAAATTGGAAACCATCATTCTCAGCAAACTAACACAAGAACAGAAAACCAAATACTGCATGTTCTCACTCATAAGTGGGAATTGAACAATGAGAAAACATGGACACAGGAAGGCGAGCATCGCACACTAAGTCCTGTCAGTGGGTGAGGGGATAGGTGAGGGATAGCATCAGCGGAAATACCTACTCTAGGTTACCGGTTAATGAGTGCACCAAACCACCATTGCACATGTATACCTATGTAACAAACCTGCATATTCTGCACATGTATCCCAGAACTTAAAGTACAATAAAAAAAAAAAAAAAAAAGACAAGTGTGCCTGGGCCACTGCAAGTTTGCAATAAATACATATTCAAGGAAGAAGTGAATTAATTAATAAGTAAATTAACAAATAAAAGGAGTGCATGATGACTAAAACAGAATTTTACATGGAATCTGAAGGGCATTCTCTGGAAGTAAACAAATCATAATCACTTGATAAGATAAATAGTTGATTAGTTCTAGTGTTGTTTTGTATTAACTTAAAAATATATTGAATATGAGTAATCAAAGAGAAATCTGTAAAGTTTAAATTTCCAATTTTATCTAGAATCACACAATGATCACAAGTATTAGAACTTATTAAAAAATTACACATTTCAGTGTGATTCCTGGGAACAGAAAAAAAAAAGTAATTTGAGTGCTTTATCTTGCAGCAGGAATGTAAAGAATGTGAACATCAATGAACAAAATCTCTTGCTGAATAGCGCTATTTATACACCTTTACGGATAATGTTAGCAGCAGTGAATCCATTTGGGTCCGCAGAAACCTCAATTCTTGCCTCCTCCGAAGAAAGAATTTGACTGAGGGGCATAAGGCAGAGTGAGGGACCAAGGCAAGTTTGAGAGCGGGAGTGAAAGTTTATTAAAATGTATAGAGCGGGAACAAAAGGAAATAAAGTACATTTGGAAGAGGGCCAAGCGGGCAACTGAGCGTTTCAAATGCATAATTTGATCTTTGACTTGGGGTTTTATATGTTGGCATGCTTGCAAGTTCTTGTATCTCTTCTCTCCTGATTCTTCCGTTGGGGCAGGCTGTCCAGATATGTGGTGGCCTGTTAGTGCTTTGGAGGGGCTGCATGTCCAGTGTGTTTACTAATGTTCTACACATGCTCATTTGGAGGTGTTTTTCTCTTACCAGTTGAGTGTTCCTAGGGAAGACCATATACCAGTTAAACTCTGCCATTTTGCCTCTTAGTGTACATGCTTGAGCCCACTTGCTCAATTCCTGAGATCTTATCAGGAAGCTGCTGATCACCAGTTTCAGGTGATTTCTTTCTATTGGGAGACTGGCTTTCCCTGGCTCTGGCTGTGAACAATTATTTTAGGGAGACAGTTTAGCAACCACCTGACTATTACCTGATGGTTGCCTGACATTCCTACGGCGGGGGGGGGGGGTGCTCTCTTGCTCTGCTCATGTCTGACTACCTACTCTAACAATAACAATTTTTAAGTTTTAATATATTTTTCAGATTGTTTATAAATCTACATATTATTGGAAAAATGTAAAAACTCTCTAAAACTCTAAGAATACTTTATTTTAATAGATTTAAATTACTATGATTTGATTTTAGTAACTCTATTTAAGCTTATGGCACATTACCATATTTAATCATGAAAGACCTGAATTTTATTAATTGATTAAATGTCACTATTACTGAATAAAATTGCGTCCATCATTTTAAGAGGAGAAAAACATTTATTTCCATTTTTAATATAAATACAAATAAAAGTGATAGGCTTGTCATACACACTATAATACACTATTACAGGGTATATATAGGGAGCTGGAGAAAAGAAGAAATGTTTGGTCTGATTTGATAAAATTATGATTTGTGGGGATAACAAAGCTCTGTTTCTGACTCAAGAGGCTATAGTCATTTTAATACAATTAGTTTCCTCAGACTCTCTCTAAGGTTGGGAGAACGTGTTTAAATACTAGGAAAACATTATTATATTGTAAACCAAAACCAAAATTTTCAACCTTCCAGCCAACTAAATGGACACCTTTTCTTGGCCCAGAGGACACCAGAGACACCTGAAACACTGAATCTCTGGCCATGATGGAAAGGAATGTCAGACATAACCTCATTACACCCCCTCCCTTTTGGAGTTTAGGCACTACTGACCAGCATTAAAGTTAAAATAGAGATCATAAGAGACAAAACACTCTTTATGGCAAAAAGATACCAGATTCCAACTTGACTGTGGTATAACATCACATGACAGATAGCAGACCTGGAAGGAGACCAAAGTATTTTACCCCAAAATATATTTCTTCATGTATTTTGAAATGACTCTGCAAAGCCATCATCTTATGTGAGAAATTTGCATCTGTAGAGAATCTTCATTAACGCCACCAGATCTTCCCTTTCTAGGTGTTTTCGGGATCTAGGAGAGATTAAATGAGAGTTTGACACCTTTAAGGTCTGAAAGAGACATGTACCATCTATTCTCTTTGAAGGCTCCTACCTGGAGTCTTCATCCATGTAACAAGAACCTCTGTCTCCACAACCCCTTTATCTTAACTCAAGCATTTATTTCTACTTACTTCAAGTTTTTAGACAAAGCTTAACTCTGTCAATCAATTTCTAAACAAAAAATCTTTTCCTTTTCCCTTTTCTTTTTTTTTTGAGACAGGGTCTCGCTCTGTGACCTGTGCTGGAGTGCAATGGCAGTGGCGTGAACATAGCTGACTGAAGCCTTGAACTCCTTGACTCAAACGCTCCTTCCACCTCAGCCTTCTGAGTACCTGGGAGCAGAGGTGCATGCCACCAAGCTTGGCAAATGTGAGAGATAAGTTCTCACCGTGTTGCCAAGGCTGGTCTCAAACTCCCAGGCTCACTTGATCTTCCTGCCTTGACCTCCCAAAATGCTGGAATTACAGGTGTGAGCTACCACACTGGGCCTTTCAGAAAATCTTTGAATTCACCTATGACTTGTGATTCCCCCACCCTCAGGCCTCCTCTGCTTCACAATATCCTGCCTCTTTAGGGTGAACCAATACATACCTTCCACGTATTGATTCATGATTTTACCTCAATTCCTGTCGTCCTAAAATGTATAAAACCAACCTGTAACCCAACCAGCCAGGCACTCTTTCTCAGGACCTCTTGAGACTATTCCCTGAGCCATGGTCACACATATTGGCTAAAAATTAACCTCTTTAAATATTTTACAGATTTTTTTTTCCATTAACAATACTTTGTCATTAATAGCCAGAATCTCCAGAACTTAAAATAATCCTTGGATAAAGCTGGTTATTTATTCACTCATTTATTTTTCATATTTCTGTAATATATTTTAATTAATTAATGAGTTTTCATTCTTATGTACACTGTTCAGTGTTTAACCTGCCTAAAATGCTTTGTACTTTCTAATGTATTTCCAATGCCTAGGTGAGGATCCATCTTCTCTTATACCACCCTCTCTTATGAATCTTCCTCAACTTCCCCAAGAACCATAAACATCTCTCAGTCTCCTATACTGCGTGGTAAAAATGAGCCCCATTTGCCTTCAGCTTATGCCACATTATATATTGTTATATTCATTCATGTATCTTCTCTTCTGAGTATATTGGTAAACTGCAATAGTCATGGATGTTGTTTTAGGCTTCTTTGATTCCTTGGTGTATATCAGTGCATCCTCTATGGACCTATAAGCATTGTTTAATAATGTTTATCATTGATAATGAACTTATCAAAGAAGGTAACTGATAATGAAGTCTTCAAAGAGGAAATTTGTCCTCAAGGGATGAACGTGTTCATAACGAGGAGATTTCAAGGCATTTAGCTTAATGGGACTTTAACTTCTCAACCACACAATCAACTCCATTTGTGTTAGCTTGGCTTCCGACTGATCATATTGTGTTAGGGAAGTTGACATTACTTCCACGTGTCTAAACACTTGCCTGGTGACTGATCATCAGAGTAAAAATGTTTCCTGTTTTCTCCTCAGTAGAGGCAAATTTCACTTCTGCTGCAGCTCAGACTATATATCAGTTAAGAAGCAAAGAGCTAATTAAAAGCCACTTTCTTGTCTGAAGAAAAATCCAATCTTGATGGTAGGTTTGCTCTTTTTCTCCCTTGATGTCTTACCTATTTTCTACTTATTTTGCCTTCTTTCTGTTCTTCTTCCCAATTTCATTTTTCTTCCTCTCTCTAATCCCTTGCTTACTTTATCTTGCATTTCATTTTATTAGTTCCTTTATATTTTCAGAACTATGACCAGCAGAAGCACTGAATCTGTTAATTCTGTTTAGGGTATGTTTACTGTGAAATCAGAAGGATTTAGTATTGAAATAAAAGATGGTCAAAGTGAACAGAGACAGAGGAAATGAAGAGATAGAAGCGGGGACAAAGCACTGCTTTTCAAATTTATTTTCTGAAATTTTTTTTAGGTGAAAAAAAAAACTCAAGAGCTATGATCATTATATTAAATTTCTTCCAGTGTTCATCTTAGGTCTAAAGATGGTTTTCTATTTTTAATTGTCATAAATATTTACATATCATCTTATTTCTCTCTTGCATTCAAAGTAAGCTCCTGTAGACAATTACATTCCAATTGTTAGTCAGGCTAACTGTGAGCAACATGACATTTCAGCACTTGCATACTGAGAAAAGAAGAAATCTATTTTTTTTTTTCATGTATGTTCAACTTTTTACCACATCACAATAAATATAATTAAATTAGAATATAAAGATAAATTATAAGATAATCTTTTTAATTTCTGTAGATTTGTACAAAATATTTTTCTATGTGCAGAGAAATAGAATTTGCTAGAGTTTATCTTATATAAATAATTTCAAAAAAGTATCCCACATATGATCAATGGCAATTGCAGAATTTTAACATTGCTATTTTCATGTTTTACCATTTGAACCTTTACCTAATTTTTTCTCAACATTTTCACCAAAACAGAAGCAGGTCAAGGAGTAGCAATGGAAAACCATACAACAGTGACTGTGTTTATCTTAGTAGGATTGACAGAGAACCCCAAATTGAAGATTGTGCTGTTTATCTTTCTGCTTCTCACTTACTTGCTAAGCATCTCAGGCAACCTGACCATCATCACCCTCACCCTGCTGGACTCTCACCTGAAGACTCCTATGTATTTCTTCCTTAGAAATTTTTCCTTCTTAGAAATTTCTTATACAACAGTCTGTATCCCCAAATTGCTTGTTAGCATGGCAACTGGTGACAAAACCATTTCCTGTAACTGTTGTGCAGCTCAGTTGTTTTTTGCCTTCCTTCTGGGAGCATCTGAATTTTATCTCCTGGCTGTCATGTCCTATGATCGTTACGTTGCCATCTGTAAGCCTCTGCATTATACAACCATCATGAGCACCAAAGTCTGCATCCAGCTGGTTCTTAGTTCTTGGATTGCTGGTTTCCTCATCATTTTTCCAGGACTCATCTTAGGCCTAAACCTGGAATTCTGTGACTCCAATATTATTGATCATTTTTACTGCGACACTGCTCCTCTACTGCAAATCTCCTGTACAGACACGCATCTGTTAGAAATGATGAGTTTTGTCTTAGCTTTGGTGACTCTCCTGGTCACTCTGGTATTAGTAATTCTGTCATACACATATATTGCCCTAACAGTTTTAAAAATCCCTTCTGCCAACCAGAGAAAAAAGGCGTTTTCCACTTGTTCTTCTCATATGATTGTCATCTCCCTCTCCTACGGCAGCTGCATCTTTATGTACATTAAACCCTCAGCCAAACAGAGGATATCCCTAATGAAGGGAGTTTCAGTGCTCAATACCTCAGTTGCCCCACTTTTGAACCCCTTCATTTATACTTTAAGAAACCAGCAGGTGAAGCAATCATTTAAGAATTTGCTACAGAGAGTTCTGTCTTTATCTAAGAGGTAGAATAATAATGAGGCATATGAGAGAAATTAATTATTAAGAAAAATTACAAGGAAGTGCCTGGATCAGCTCTCAATTTTTCTATTATACCATTTAATATACAATCTTAGTTGTCCTTTCACTTCTTTCTAAAGTGACAAGATACATAAGCTGCCTTTCTCCAATAAAGACTTCACTTTCAAAATAATAAAACTTCTTTTTTCTTTTCTGTTATAATAATTCCCACATCTGACTCCTTCTTTTCCTCGTCTTTTATTGAAATATAGCTAATATCTGAAATGCTATTTTTATCAACTTAATGAATCAGTTCATTGAAACTGTTGTTTCCACCTTAAAAGGATTATCTTTAGTTCTTATATTTATATTTTTGTAAAATCTTAATAAATTCAGAGCAATTATGTAATGAAAATTCCTTGAGATTTATGTATTTTCAGTGGTTTTTCTTTTCTAAAATACTTCAACATGGGAAGTTGATATGAAAGTACCACTGTCCTTTTTGTCTTGAGAAATTTTATAAAGCTCACAACACTGTGCTAGTATAATAAAAATCATATGGTATATTGTTATTTTTAATTGATATAGATAAATAAACTATATATGTGCACTATGTCTAGGTAATTAGATGAGAAATAAAATGCAATCTAGAGAGATCACATTTGATATTTTATCAGCTGTTCCTAGCTCATCTTAGAAGTGTTCCCTAGATTTTATATCTGTAACATGACAATAAACAATTATTTTATTTTGGGATATTTTAAGGCTCATTGGAAAGCATAAAATAACCATTAGATGAAAATAGTAATGTTAAGTATAAATTCATTTTATTATTACATATATTTAGTATAACATGCTTGAAAAACAACAACAAAATAAATCACATAAGCCTTTTTCTTTAAAGGCATGTGACCTAATCATAAAAAAAATTATGTTCATAACAGAAACAAGTAAATCAATTTGTATATTTAAATGTATCAAGTATAATCATAAGAATGATCACTAAAGTATAGTCTAAAAAGGCTTTTGGAAAAATTGAAATTATATATTTTAAAGCTATTTAAAAATTAAGTGTCTATATTTAACTACAATTTCACAGGAAATACAGGGGTTAGATGAGGATGTCAAATGACACCATAAGAACCCAAAGTATCCAATTCAGAATATGGCATATTCTATAACCCAATTACTTCAAAACGCCAACATCATGGAAAAAAGACACTAGAGAAGATTATTCCAGATTAAAAAGAAATTAAGAGTCATATCCACCAAATGCAGCATACAGACCTCAAATGATTAATTTGACCAAAAAAGCTGCAAAGTGGAATTTTTCTAATGTTTGGATAATTTAAAAATGTATAGGGTGTGATGTTATTGAGGTATGTTTTTCATTTTATCTCTTAGAATTAAATAATAAAGTATCTAGGGATGAAATGATCTGGTATCTGCTGCTGCTTGTTTTAAAATGGTGTTTCAAAAATCTTCAGAAGAGATAAACTAAATAAAAATAACACAATGTTTATAATAATCAAAACTAAGTGATGAGTTCATGAGCGATCATTAAATTATGCTCTCTAGAGTGTCTATTTATAAATTTTCATAGTAAATATTTTATAATAAAAACTAGTTTGAGTAAAATTAGATGGAAGGTGAATGGCATGGTTAATATTACGATTACAATTTACATGACTTCCTTCAACTATCTCCTAATTTCCGTTTGATATATTTGATTAAATGGTCCTTGTTCCCTTCCTACACTTTGAAAATATTATAGCAATAAGGAAGACGGCTATTTTTAAGTTTTCACGTAAAGAAGGAAAACCAAAATTGTATTGAATTTATGAAAAGTCTTATTCCTTTATGTAATGTTTATTTGAACCAGTACAACAAATTTCAAAACTCTGGGCACCCAAGTTCTACAACTATTGCATGTCATTGACACTAAGGGTAGTTACACAGATATGATAGTCACAGTCACACTTTTTATTTATGAACAGGCTTCCCTTCATTTCCAGATCCCTAACTTCAGTCTGCTATAGTGAGGGAAGCTAGGAAATATTATTTGGATCATTAATAATAAAAATCTACTATCTCTTTATACCAAGGTACAATTTAAAACATTGTTTTTGTTACCAAGGCTTTGACTAAAATATCATATTTGAGAATGTACGTAGAATGCCTGGTTACAAAAGTTCACAGTGTTACAATGAATTAATACAAACGATCACTTTCTAGCAGGCCTAGGAACCTTAAGACTGTAGCTAGTGTCTAAAGTCTCCCTTGGTTTGGTTTCCCAGCCTCAAGAGGTTTTTAAATCCAAGATTTCTATGTGATCAATGTATCAAGAAAAGATATGCTTCTATAGAAAAGTTATAATGCACATTATTACATTGAAGTCCTGTGCATTGCTTCACGACGATCATTTGATTTATTGAATTGGTTGCCTTTAAGCTTAGGTTCATGGCTGAAAATCATTATACAACCTGAAATTGTTATAGTACTACTAATTTCACTTAGTATTTTTCTTTCTAAACATTCTACCTGTTACTTGTTAAATTTCTGCAGATGTACAATTTGTGGCAAAATAATGCTGGACCAGCACTTTGATATGCTAGCAAAGGACTATGGAACAGACAAAAACCTAATTTAATAAGTAACTCCAGGTAGACTTAGCCTAAGAACCACTCTCTTTGATTCATCCTTGTTGTTAAAATATTGATAAATGTGTTTTGAAACTGACCGTTGGTTGCAATTCACTTCTTCCAATGTGGGACCAGATCAACAATTCAGGACAGATCTATCCTTGCACCAAGAGACAATCAAAATGAAGGTGGATGATGAGAAATAATTAATTATTTATTGGGTTCGATGTACATTATTTAGGTAATGGAAACACTAAAAGCCCATACTTCATCACTTTGCAATACTTCTATGTAACAAAATTGCATTTATACCCCATAAATTTATAAAACAAAACAAAAACAAAAGCTAGCTATAGGATGGTTAATCAGTGATTCTTCCAGAGAAAGATCTTGATGAAAAGGGAGAAATGTGAAAGTTGTCAGAATTCAAATAGAGTTACTATGTTTAAAATAAATAAATAAAAGTTTCTAAACCCTTTAAAATAGAGCCAGAAAAAAACATGAAGTGTTCTCATGTGGTAATTCTGCAAATTTGCATAAACAGAATCTTATCATAAAGAAATATGAGAAAACCAAACTCAAGGACTTTTATCATTCTAAAAATAACTGCTGATATTCTTCAAAAGTGACAAGGTCATGAAAGACACAAAAAAGACAGGATTGTCTTTTTATTCTGTTATTTCTTTTGCTGTGCAGAATCTTATTAAAAAGCTTAATTAGGTCCCATTTATTTTTGCTTTTGTTGCATTTGTTTCTGGGATACTTGCCATAAATTCTTTACCTAAGCCAATATCAAGAAGAGATTTTTCTTGATTTTCTTCTATAATTTTTATGGTTTTGGGCCTTACATTTAAGTGTTTAATCCATCTTGAGTTAATTTTTTTATATGGTGAGAGTAAGGATCTAGTTTCATTCTTCTACATGTGGCTATCCAATTTTCTCAGCACCATTTATTGAGTAGTGTGTCTTTTCCCCAGTGAATGTTTTTGTCATCTTTGTCGAAGATCAGTTGGTTCTAAGTATTTGACTTTATTTCTGGGTTCTTTATTCTATTCCATTGGTCTGTGTGTCTATTTTTACACCAGTATCAAGCTGTTTTGGTTACTATATCCTTGTACTATAATTTGAAATCAAGTAATGCATTGCCTCCAGATTTGTTCTTTTTGTTTAATATTGCTTTGGCTGTTAGATGAATGGCTAACGAAAATGTGGTGTATATACACTGGAATACTACTCAGCTGTAAAAAAATTAAATAATGACTTTTGCAGCAACTTGGATGGAATTAGAGGCCATTATCCTAAGAGAAGAATTTAAAAGTAAAAACTAACGAGGCAATGATTTAAACATCTCCTATCTCACGTTTTGCAGGAAAAGAATGAAATTTATTAGTTTATCAAGGGAATCAATCACTCTGAACATACAAGATATTGCATAGTATTTTTTTAAAGGGAAGAAAAAAGATACTTTCCATAGAGAATCATAGTAACTGCAGTTGAAACCCTGAGTCAACAAAAGTACCATGCCAACTCTCATTACATACTTTAGCCTGGGGCAGTGAGCATGTGCGTAAACAAAGGAGGGAGACTGAAATTTTGAAAAAAAGAAAAAAAAAATCTATGTTCTGGTTTATCTTTACTACTTCTTCATAAAAAATTTCCAGTTAGGGTGACATGTGTAAGCAAAATCAATGTATTTGTAAATCCAATGATGTTTCATTAAATACTATTTGAAATGTCATTAGGAGCATCATCATACATGATGTCATTTCAACTGCCTCCCATCCTTCACACTCTAATTCGATGTATAGAAGCCTGTAGTCTATGATCGGCTCTGCTACTTTTCTGAAATATGTTTGATGTTCTTTCTTTCTTGTCTCACAAAGCCAATGAATTAGCAAATATTTCTGTTGATATTTTTCTTTCATTCTTCCCTACATGTCCCATCTCTCCCCTAGCACTGGAATATGGGCTTCACACCTCATAGCAGCTATATTACTTTAATATCTTAGTTGATCTCTCTGAATCAAGCCTGTACTTTGTACCACCCATCATTCTTTGTTCTCCCAATTTTAGTCATTACTCTGCTTGAAAATGACCTATTTACCTACATACTATTTCAAGTGCATTAACTGCCTCCAGCTCCTTCTATATGATGGCATTAATATATCTGTCAAGTCTTTTTGGCCAATAGTTAACTTTAAACATTTTGGCATCTACACCTGGTGAACCTCCAGTCCTCTGAACATAATGTATGCATTCTCAATTCAAGGTATTTTTTTTCAGATTACCTTTCACACCACATTAACTGTAGCAGGACAAGGACAAAAAAAAAAAATGAATTATTTTTCACCAGCTAGCATCAGGTTTCTTTTCAGCAAATGAATCAAACTTTA